ACCACAAGGCTCTGTCTTAGGCCCAGTACTCTTCAATATCTTCATAAATGACTTAGATGTCATCAAATTTGCAGATAACACTAAGCTAAAAGGAATAGCCAACAAGCTCAGGATCCAAAAAAGATCTTGACAGACTTGGGCCTTATCCAACAACAAGACTGAATGTGGAGTAAAGCAAGGTTTTACACTTAGGCAAGAAAAACCAAAGGTACAAGTACAGATTAGGTAAAACCTGGCTCAAAAACAGTAACTGTGAGAAGGATCTTGGAATGTTAATGGATGATCACTTAAATATGAACCAGTAGTGTGTGGCAGCAGCCAAAAATGCTAATACAATTATTGATTGTATAAAAAGAGGCATAGAAGCAAAATCACATGAAGTTATTAGTACCGCTTTATAAAACCTAAGACCACACCTGGAATACTGCACCCAGTTTTGGTCACCGTATTACAAAAAAGTTTCTGAGAGTTTGGAAAAAATACAGAGAAGAGCAACTAGGATGATTAAAAGCCTGGAGACTAAATCTATGTAGAATGGTTGCAGGAACTGGGTATGGCTAGTCTAGAGAAAAGAAGGACTAGGGGTGACATGATATCAGTATTCTAGTATTTGAGGGGCTGCCATAAAGAATAGAGAGTCAACTTATTTTCCAAAGCACCAGAAGGCAAGACAAGAAACAATGGATGAGAAAATTCCTAACAGTGAGAACAATTAACCAGTGGAACAGCTTGCCTTCAGCAGTATAGGTGCTTTATCTCTGGACGTTTTTAAGAAGAGACTGGACAGCCAGTATAAGATCTCCTGCATGAGCAGAGGTTGGACTAGAAGACCTCCAAAGTCCCTTCCAGCTCTATTCTGATTGATTGGGGTTAGGTTATTACCTTGATAGTGGAATACTTGGTAAGTGTGGATGACTTTTTGGTACACTTGTGTTTCCAATTTGCCATTATAGTCCCTGCAGATCAGGATATCCAGGAAGGGTAATGAGTTGTTTTTTTCTTCTTGTTGTTGAAGGTTTTATGGGTGTTTTCTAATTGGTCCTTTTTTATTATAGTGATGGTATCATCTACATATCTGATCCATATTTAGGGTTGTATTTGTGGAATTACTATTGATTCCAGATGTTGCATTACAATCTCTACTGAAAGTAATGATCCATAGGCATACATTTAATTTGTTGATAGGTTTGTCTGTTGAATTGAAAGTATATGATTAGACAGAGGTTGATAACATTCATGATTCTGGGTATTTCAAATCTTCATGTATTTTGTTAAGTCAGATGTGCTACAAAGTAATGTCAGAGATTCTTGGCTAATTCCAGGTCTATGGACCTGAAAACAGCTGTGATATCAAAAGAGACTATGGTTTTGACCTCATCTATTGTCACGTGTTATTCTTTGAAGGCATTGTAGTGGGGAGTTGATGGGATGTGTACTTTCCCTTGTGAGGAGCCCAAGTGTTTTTTTTTAGTTCTTTTGTGATCTTGTAGTTAGAGGTCTCTGGTAATGGTAACAATTGGAGGGACAGGTATATCAGACATGTATTTGGGGGCATACAAAGAAGCGTGGGAGCTGGGTCCACTGCTTTTCATCACCACTATTCCTCTTTAGTAATTTGGCTTTCTTAGTGAGTCACTGAGAGTTCTCTTGATCTGGTTGTTTATTGGTTGGTGTTCACTGGGATGTAAATTTATTAGCGTTCTAATAATTCTTTCACTTTTTGTATATATTGCGATCTGTCCATAATAACCATGATTCGGCCTTTGTCTGCTGGTGGGAAGATGATAGTCTGGTCCTTCTTTAGGCTTTTGACGGCTGCTCTGTCCTCTGATGTAACTTGTTTTTGTTTTCTTCTGGTCTGTGGTATGATGGTTTGTCTAATGGATCTCTATGGGCAGTCTAGCAGTTTCAAATGCTCCTTCTAAGGCTGCAAAGAATTCCAATTGATTGGCATCATCTGTATTATAGTTGAGATCTTTCTGTAGAATATTGTGTTCTGCCATGGATAGTGGATGACTGGACATGTTGACTACACATTTGGGCTCTAGTGCTTCTTTGATTTTGATTTTAGTTTGAGGAGTTTATTTTTAAGTTTGGTTTTCCATTTTTTGGCACATCTCTAGGAAGTACTCAAGATGGTGGTGTCCAGCCTCTCCATGTGCTCTGGGGTAATATTCCTTGAGGTTTCCCATGGTGTGTTGGTATTTGTTTAATCTAAGGCAGGGGTGTCAAACTGCCGGCCTGTGGGCCGGATGCATCATGCAGAAGCCATGCCCACCCCATTGCCGGCAATGGCAAAACCGTCCCGATATGTTGTCCAACATCATGTGACGTCGCAAGTTTGACATGTCTGATCTAAGGTATGCTTCTGTGATCATGAGCTATATCAATTTTTGCCCATTTTCTTCAGCTATTTTCCATCCAGCTGTAATGGAATATTTGTAGCTCACGATTGAAATGAGGGGTCCTTTCATTATCCACACTAGGTATCATCAGCAACACTGATGTTACCTTATTTGGGTAATGAAACATCTGCAAGAAAACAACCAAGCTTAGACAGCACCAAGGATCCCTCAATCACATTTCTCTCAATCACACTTACAGTAGACTATTCATTTGGAATACTTTTTCATTTATTTATATAATGCTTACACCGTCTCAATCAGCTCTAGGTGGTTAACAATAAAACATTAAAATTGAAAATTCATAAAAGAAATTAAATATCTTCAAAACAGTATAAGATAATGAAAAATGGCACTCAGTCTAATACCCACTTAAGGCAAGTTTTTGAGGCTTTTCAGAATGCCAAGGGGGGCAATCTTATCCACAGGAGCTATGCATTCTATAAATGTTGGGTGAATTACAGTCAAGAGCTACCTTCTGGTCATTTTCTTTCACCTTTCAGGATAGAACCTTGAGCAAACCCTCTGTCAATTTTACTGTCTTTATTAGAAAAAGTATATAACATCCCTAGTATAATTAGCCTCTTAAAGAAATAAGTTGAGTTAGATGTTCTAATTAACAAGATGACAGAAAGGTGTGACTGTGATGTTCTTCTTTATACATGTTGATTGAAACAACTAGTGTGTGCTATATACAACACAGGATTGCCTCAACCAAAAGAGAGTTCTCTGAACCTGTCAGTGCTTGTGAAGCTGGAAAGTGCCATTGCAATGATTCTTTCTTCTACTGATCTATATTCAGCAGACAATATACAAATGAAGAAAATGTAACACCATCATTTCCCTTCTCACAACTGATTGACCAAGAAAAATTATCCCAAGAATGTCTATGTTTCAAAGATGTTGCTATCTTCCTCTAGAACTGAAGCAGCCTTCTGACCATTTGCTTGACTTCCATAACTATGCATTGTTCTTTCATGATACGGTTCATGAAGTCCTATTATCACCTTTATTGGCCCTGCTTTCTTGAAAGGAATATCTTCTTTCACATGAGCAAGCCAATGCCCTGGATTTCTTGATGAGAGTTTGGTGGTTCCTCCAGGCATAAATATAGTCTGATTTGGACCAATAGCAGCAATAATGCAATTAATTCTAAGCACACAGTTGCTTCACCTGCTGATTTGGGGCTATAGAAGGGCCCACCGTGGGGGATGGATATGTAACATTTGGAAACAACCTATCCTGAGTTTCTTTACAGATTACAGGTAGTCCTCAACTTAGGACCAGTTTAGTGACAGTCCAAATTTACAACAGTACTGAAAAAAGTGACCTATGACTATTTTTTATACTTATGACTGCTGCAGCATCCCCATGGTCATATGATCAAAATTTGGATGTTTGGCAACTGGTATGTATTTAGGATGGCTGCAGTGTCCCCGTGTTTTGTGATCACCTTTTGCAACCTTTTGACAAGTAAAGTCAATGGGGAAACTAGTTCACTTAACAACTGGGTTACTAACTTAACAACTGCAGTGATTCACTTAACTGTGGCATGAAAAATTGCAAAGTGGAACAAAACTCACTTACTTAGCAATGGAAATTTTGGGTTCAATTGTTGAAAGTTGAGAACTACCTATACCTATTCTTGCCTTATCCAAGAATTGTTATGGAGAGTGGAAGGGAAGCTCTGTTTTCTGTCTGTAATTCTTTCCTACCATCACCTTCTTAAATGAGCCTTTAGACAATACTGATTGGTTACTGGACTGGATAGAAAGGCATTAGTAGGAGATCAACTTAACTTCTAATGTTTATGTATATTAAGCTTTTCTTTGGCAAAGATTGAGCAGCTGAAAAAGTCCTAATGGGCAGGAAGTGGATCCTTACAAACATTAATTGTTGGTGCACCCCAAATGGTAAGAGTTGTTTTCAGGCTTGCTCCCAAAGAGCAAGTGAAAACAGTGGTTTCTACACACCTATGGTATAAAGTTTCTGTAATTATCTATTCGTGAAAAAAGAATAATGCCATATTTAATTTAAATCATGTACTAAATTATTTATATAACAGGATCTGATGTGGGATTTTCAAGATAAAATACCTCATTCTCATAATGGGGATATTAAAAAGAGATAAGAAAAGGAAATAGCAGAAATCTTTTATTTTATTTTTTTTAGGAAACAAGTAAAGCACATTCTGGGGAATGCTTCTTCCAAGGTTACCAGAATGGGAGAGAAAAAGAAACTGGATTATAATTAAGTAGGAAGAGGGTTACTACCTTTTGGTTTAGCTAAAGTATGTTCTGTACAGATGCAAATATGAAATGTAATCCATAGAAACCATGAAAATAATTATTATACTAGGCTGCAATGAAAGGAAATTGTTAACAAATAAACAAAAGCTGGATCAAGTAGTATATTAAATAATGGAAAGTGATGAACAAAAAACTAAATATCTAAGGAACTTTATTAAAAGTAAGAAAAGGCAGAGCTAAAGAAAATATGACTTTCAACTAAGCCAGTTCTGTTTTCTGAAATTTAGCTATATGATGGATGAGTGAAAATGAACACATACAGAAAAATATTATTGAACAAAACACTTACCATGTTTCTCATCTTCTTCAAGATCTACTGTTGTCTCCTAAATTAGATAAACAGAAAGGTTTCTGAATTACAGAAAGAAGGTTCATATTAATGTGATCAATAAATTGCAATGTTTTAATACTTGATACTTCAAAAGGAGTAATACTTGGAACTATATTTCTCTTACTCTAAGAATATAATAAACATATTCTAACAAGATTTGATGGAATTATTCATGTTTTAGGCTGAGGTGTCCAAATTGTTAAAGGTTCAATAAGTTCATTCAACAGGTAAAATCCAAAATTATGTAATTGCAGAAAATAACTATCCTCATTGTAAATCTTTTATAGCATATTTTAAGAATGTGCAGGAAATCACTTCATCTTCTGTTCCATAAGTAGCAATTTCTTTCATATATGCATATACATGCAGATTCTTTTCATTTTTTCATACATAATTTTCTGTGATAATATTTATATACCAAGAAGCACATCAATAAAAACAAAATAACAGAAACTAAGGAAATAATAAAGCTCATACAATTTGATAATAAATTCAGTAATACCTGAATAAAGAATTGATTAATAAAACAAATCTATTGAATAGCTTAGAATAGAATAGAGCTGGAAGGGACTTTGGAGGTCTTCTAGTGCAGCCCCCTGCTCAAGCAGAAGAACCTATACCATCTCAGACAAGTGACTGTCTAGCCTCTTTTTAAAAATCTCCATGGATGGAACACCCACGATTTCTGGGAGCAAGCTATTCCACAGGTTGATTGTCCTCACTATCAGGAAGTTTCTCCTTAATTCCAGGTTGCTTCTCTTTTTGATCAGTTTCCAACCATTGTTTCTTGTCCTGCCCTCTGCTGCTTTGGAGAATAGTTTGACTCCTTCTTTGTGGCAGCCCCTCAAATACTGGAATACTGCTATCATGTCTCCCCTGTTTCTTCTTTTCTTTAGACTAGCCAAACTCAAGTCCTGCAGCCGTTCTTCATGTGTTTTGGTCTCCAGGCCTTTGATCATTTTAGTTGCTCTTCTCTGAATCTTTTCCAAACTCTCAACATCTTTTTTGTGATATGGTGACCAAAATTGGCTACAATATTCCAGGTGTGGTCTTACTAGGGTTTTATAAAGAGGTACCTCACGTGATCTTGATTCTATGCCTCTGTTTATATAACCCAGGATTTTATTAGCTTTTTTGGCTGCTGCTGCACAATGCTGGCTCATGGTTAAGTGATTGTCCACTAGGACTCCAAGATCCCTCTCACAGTTACTGTTTTTAAGCCCAGTCTTGCCCAATATATATATATGTACCTTTGATTTTTCCTGCCTAAATGTAAAACTTTGCTTTTCTCCACACTGAAACTCTATTGGAAGTAGTAGGCTTTTGCGATGATATCAGGTAGTGAGGATATTAGGCATTCTGTACAGCAAACTCTACTATGGAGGAAGCTTTGTATGTAGCTGTCCCCCATATCACTGTGGAGAGCAGCATCCGGGAAAAAATATCTGTGAAGATGATTGTAACAATTGGCAGGCATCTTAACATATGAAAAAGGTGTTTCTCCAGGTAATGTTTTTTAAACATTTTGTTGTCATACTCACATCTGATTATCATCCCATTCATGAAACATAGATGACTTTATTTTCCCTTTCTAATGAAGTGATAATCCTAAAGGTTCATATACTTTTGTCACACATAAATCATAACTTTGGATCATTTTCCTCAATAAATAAATGAACAAGTATGTTTGACTCATTTTTAATTGGCTTCTCTTTATCTAGTAGAACTTGATGGGAGAACCAATCATATTCACACAGAAATAAATACCGAAGTGTCAGCAAGATCTTCCACTGACTTCAGATATCCATCAAATTCTGAGGACAAACCAGCCTAATATTTTTCTTGTATTTGTCAAGAAGTGAAAAATTTTATTTACATTGATCCTAGTATATGACCAGTTTTGTCCTAGTTAGAACTCTTCAAATATACATCGATGAATCTATTAGGGTATTAATGGGTTCCCTTGTACATTGGGGACATAATGTAACATCCATATTTTTCTGTTCTGATTTCTTAAGATTAGGTATATACACCATTCTAAAGATAACTGAAAATCTTCTATTTTAGATGAACCAAAATTGGAAAATGTCTCTATCTGTAGTTTTGAGCATTCAAGAGACAGACATAAAGTGGAAAGTAACCTACTGAAATTCCACAAAGAAAACGAAAGCAAAACAGTTGACAATACATTCATGATTTCATATTTAAATGAGCAAGCACATAAACTAACCATTTTCAGTTCTGCTATTTCAGGTAGTTGCTGTTCTGCTTTCACTATAAACTGGTCGTCCTCTTCTTCTTCTTTATCTATAATAACATTTGATACTATCTTGGCACTGCCATTTCTATAAAAAAATAAGGACAGAGCAATAATTCAGATATTAAGTTGTCATAGATAGTCATTTTTAAACCAGAAAATAAAACTTTTTTTCAAAATCAGACTGTTTCTAAAAAGTTGTAAAATTCAAGGATACAATCTCCTAAAATGGAAATTTGAGGGAAATTTAAAACATACTATTTTATTCTCATTTTTTCCCCTATTTTAAGAATATTTGGCAAAGTGGAGTAAAGGAAGATCTGTATCCCTGAAGTAGCTGAGTCAAACTACATTTTCTTTGCAGTAGAATATAATTTGTAAACTATTTCCATTTTACTGATTATAATTGTCATATATGAATGAGGCAGACTGGGCTCCACTCCAAAAAACTGAATCCAAGCACTTATTTTTCATTGTTTCTGAGCCTTCTGTCTGCTATTACACTGGATATGGTAACTTTCTACCAGCCTTGTGCAAGTGGATGTGAGTGAAATGTCAGCAGCCCTAGACTCATACAATTGATTTCTCATCTGTCATCATGAGTATTCTTGTAACGTTGTAAATAAAAAAATATAGAAATTACTATGTTTCTGACAGTTTCAAACTTAACGTCAGTTGATAAAACTAATTATAAATATACTTAAAGATGGAAACACAAAAGTATTAATAAAAGTAGAACTTACTACTTTATGAATTATATTGCTGAGGGGGCTATTTTTATCCTTCCTTCACCTATGGTTAGTATTTTTATGCTATTATTGTGACTCTTTAGGTTTTTATTTGTTTTTTATTTACTATTTTATCTATTGTATGCTGCCCAGAGTTGCCTTTGTGGAGATGAACGGCTATATAAACTCCTTGCAGAGTTATATAGATGAACAAAGGTATATTCATAACTGTCTGTTGGGTATAACATTTAGCATAACTCATAACATTTTGGACCAGCTACAACTTCCAAGTACTTTTAAAGAGCAGGAATTAAAAGTCTTCAACACAAGAGTCAAGAATGGGATTTAAAACCTAGAACAGCGGTTCTCAACCTATGGGTCGCGACCCCATTTGGGGTTGATCGACCACTTTTTGGGGGTCGCCAAAGGCGGCGATCCGCCATTTTCTCCCCTCCCACCCCACCCACTCACAGAGCCACTCACCACCTCCACAGCCTGCCGCACATCGCCCAGGCGGCCCAGGAGTGCCATGGTGGCCACGCCCTCTGCCTGCGCCCCGCAGCATCAATTACACATGATGGGGCATGAGGGCAGTCTTGTCCCTGCTGCCTGGCTGCCATGACTTTGGCTATGCTGCTTCACGGGGCTGCACTCGAGGGCGACTCTCCTCAAGGGGGGCTGCTGATGAGGAGGGAGCCATGGGGGGAGGCGGGGCTGGGGCAATGGCGCACGTGCTCACAGAGAGGGCTCTGAGTGCCGCCACTGGCACCGTGCCATAGGTTTGCCACCACTGTTCTATTCTATGATCAACAACTGTCATTCTTTTGTGGATTACAAACTGTATCTCGAGGGCAAACTCATTTGCATTTAGATTTTTCTTCAACACTGGCCACAACAGGGACAAAAGACTAATATTTAAGAATTGAATGTTTTAGAATTTTAAAAATAATTGAAAAAAACTTTAAATTTTTGAAAAGTTTTGTAATTTTTCAATAAAGTTTTAGAATTTTTTAAATTTTAGCAATTGGAAGAAGAAAAATATAATCTTGAAAAAAAATATAGTCATGGAAAAAAGTCTGTTGTGATTGACACAGTATATTCCATATATGTATTCATGTTCATAGAAGATCCAAAGTATACATGCATCAAATGTAAACTAAATTACTTGAAAAAAAAAAATCAAGGGTCTAGAGGCAACTCTTGCCAGTTTGAGACTCAACCAACAAAACAAGAAACTCCAACCAATGGAAGAAGACTGCATCCAAACTGAACACAATAAGAAACAAACAACTATAGAAAAAAAATGAAGCTTTAGATAGAGCAATGGCAAATGTTTCTCATAGGAAAAAACCCCCAAGAACAATGTCTCTGCTATCAGGTCCAGTCCAGCCCCATTACAGCTGAATAATTGATTTCATATCTTCCTGCTTGAAGAAAGCATGTAGATGCCTGGAGAAAGGACATCAGCAAGTGTTCCATTGACAGGAAGAAAAGTAGTCCAATCTTCCCCAAGGAAAACACTATGTTAGGGATAGGGGATTCACTTCTCAGAGGAATGGAACCAGCAATTTGTAGAGCAGACAATCACTCTAGGAAGGTATGTTATCTCCTAGGAGCAAAGATCAAAGATGTGACTGAGAGGCTTATTAAAATGATCAAGCCTACAGACTATTATCTCTTTATCCTCTTTCATATGGGGATGAATGATATGACAAACTCTGAAAACAATATTAAGAGACTGTGAACAGCTTGACACAATTAGCCAGAGTTAGGAGCACAGGTGGTATTTGCATCTGTACTTCCAACAGAAAATCAATATTCAATGAGGGAACAAGGGATTTTAGAAGTAAACCACTGGATTATGGGATAGTGTGGTCAAAAGGGCTTCGGATTCCAAAACCACGGTGTGCATTACTTACATGAAGGGCTTTTGGCAGGGTATGAGTTGCATCTCACAAGAACTCACAAGAAGAATGTGTTAGGAAAATAACTGGCTCAGCTTATCTAAAGGGCTTTAAACTAAAACTAAGACAGAATAGGAATGTAAATTAAAATAGACAAGAAAATGATAAGAGAACACCTATTTACTCTAGATGGGTTCAAATCGCCAGGATCAGATGGACTATATCCCAGGATTCTGAAGGAGTTGGCAGATGTGATCTCAGAACCATTGAACAAAATCTTTCAAAGCTCCTGGAGCACTGGGGAAATACCAAAGAACCAGAAAAGAGCTAACGTGGTTCCAAAAAAGGGAGAAAAAGTGGATCCTGGAAACTATATAGTACGCAGCCTGACTTCAATATCTGGAAAGATCTTGGAAAAGATAATCAAGCATTGCATTTGTCAGTACCTAGAAATGAACAAGATATTTACTAGAAGCCAACATGGGTTTATAAAAAAACATGCAAACTAATCTTATTGCCTTCTTTGACAAAGTGACTAAACTCATAGATAAAGAAAATGCTGTGGACATTATTTAGACTTCAGTAAGGCATTTGGCAAAGTAAACTACAGCCTACTTCTTGGTAAGATAGAACAATGTGGGATAGATAATACCATCTCCAGATGGATTCGCATCTGGCTGACTAACCATACTTGATGGGTAATCCTCAATGGAACATCTATATAATGTCATAATTCTGATCAATAAGACCAAACAAATCAGAACTCTGAGGCAAGAAAATTCCTCAAAGAACATGTTTATTGGATACATAATATCAGCATGTTCAAAAGTGAAACCAGATCTAAACTTTCCTCCCCAAGAATCAAAGTAATACAATGTAACAATTCCCACCCCTCTAGTCATCCTGCCCAATAGAACCCCTTGGCAGGCTTTTCTAAGTCAACAATCCTCCTCTGTCCCTCTGGCAGGGGAATGACCTTGATTCCCACAAGAGTTGCTTATGTTTATACTACTAGAAATACCTTCTCCCCCCTCCCCTTCTTGTGGAAACCCAAAATGAAAAAATGGCTGCAGCCAGGTTCGTTGCAGAGTTTACAGTCGGACCCCCCTCCAAAGAAAGCAAATCTTGCAAAGAAAACAGAAGCCCAAGTTAAGAATCCCCTCTAGGCTTTTGAGGATGTTTATCATAGAACTTCCGTATCAATCTCTTTGCTTTTACATCCCCTCTCTTCACCTAAGTAGCTTCCGATAAAGGATACCCCTTCTTCTGCACTAAATACTGCAATTTCCCTTTATACAATCTAGAATCAAGATTGCGTTTTATTTCATAATGAGTCTCACCCTCCACCATAATGGCCTTGGAGCTTTTTTCAGAATTGGCCTCAATGTGGATTCTGAGACTGGCTTTAACAAACTGCAGAGGAAAATGGGGTGAACTTTTCCTAACAGCCGTGGGAGTTTTAATTCAATTGTGACAGGATTAATAATTTTGACTATGGAAAAAGGACCAATTTCTTACTGGGCAGCTTCAACCTGAGGTATTTAGTAGATAGGTAGACTTTCTCTCCTACATGAAATGATCTCTCTCTTGTTGGCTTTGCTCCTTGTATACTTTAGCAGCTTGGGACAAGGCTCGCTTAAAGTTTACCCAAACACTTTGTAAAGGACATCACCCATTGATTTAAAGTCTGTGATGGGGGGGGGGTTTCCTGAGGCATAAGAACAAATTCCTTGCCAGTTGCTTTCTTAAATGGGGTTAGACCAGTGCTACTATGAACTGTATTATTGTAGGCTACTTCAGCAAAAGGCAGGAGGTCTGCCCAATTAGTCTGTTGATAGTTGACCTAGCATCTAAGGTTCTGTTCCACTATTGCATTCGTACATTCAGCCAATCCATTTGTGCTCGGATGAAAAGTGGAGGAGAGTCCCTGGATCGATCCAATCAGTTTTATAACTCTCTCCAGAACTTGGTGGTGAATTGGACTCTCCTGTCCGATATAATCCTTTTTGGCACTCCTTGGAGCTGGTAAACATGCCTCAAAAATAGCTTGGCAAGCTTCTGGGTAGAAGGGAGTCCTGAACAAGGGATGAAATGAGCCTGCTTCAAAAAAGGTCTATGTCAGTCCAAATAACAGTATTTCTGTTGCTCTCAATAAAATCCAGGTGCTAGTTCTTCCAAGGTTTGGGAAGGGTCTGCCATTTGCTGCAATAGCCCAGGTGATTTTCCAGGTCATTTTTTCATAGCAGCACAAATTGCCCAACTTTTCACATAACTTTCTTCATCCCTGGCCACCAGAATTGCCATCTCACTAAATGTAGAGTTTTCAGGAACCCAAAGTGGCCAGCTTGTTTAGCATCATGGCTTTGCTGGAGGGCTTGGAGTCTTAGAGCACAGGGAGATACAACTTAGACCCCTTCCATGCTAGTCCATCTTGATAGGTCAACAATTGTCTGTTA